AGATGGGAGGGTGGGAGGAGAGGGCTGTCAACGAAGCCCTCTGTGTCTCTTCTCAACTCCAAGTCTGCAATTAGTGCTATCAGTGCAAAAGAAGCTTCCTTGAGAAGGCATGTTTTTTTTTAACGCCAAGTTCTGCTCCACCTTGACTAGACCCTGTGCTTTGTCCCGCAGTGCTTTTCTCTGGCATGGGGCTCATCTGGCTGTCTAAAGTGACCTGTCCAAAGCCAGACGCAAAGCCAGCAATCTAAAGCTGGCCAGAGGGTCCTGCTGGTCTCCTGCCTTAGTTACACGCCTGGGTCAACTGAGCCTGTCCCAGCAGCACTGCCAATGCTGTCACCATCTCACAAGACTATCTTAGCTGCCACTCTACACAAAATGTCGGTTGCAAATCATGGCCACAATAGAAGCATGCCAAGACCAGCCATTGTGGAAGAAAGTTGCTTTTAAACATGAATGAGCGCTGAGGAAGTGGGAAATGAATTGGTCAAGTGACATCACAGGATTGCCATCACCATCAAATATACCCAAAGGAGATTGTGGCACTGGCTTCTGAGAAACCCGTTTCCTGTCCATGGAAGTTAGGCTCTGAGCGGATGATGGCCACAGAAAGTAGCAGGGACATAAGAAGGGAAGTCACTTATCTCAGAAACGCAGAGCGAAGCTTCACAAGGACACAGCAACTTGGACCATTCATTTCAACAGCATCAATTTATTGACTCTTTACATTGTGGGAACTTTTGGGTAAAGAGACAGTGGATTACAACAATCTTTCACATCATTACAGCCAATTATTGTGTAGCCATGTCTGAGTTTCATTCCTATGCTGTTACAAACACTCTAACCAAAAGCAGCTCGGGGAGGAAGTTTATTGCCTCCTATTTCCAGGTCAGTACATCATTGAAGGAAGTTGGGGCATGAACTCAAGTAGGAGCCTGAAGCAGAAATTACTGAGGAATGCTGCTTGCTTGGCTCAATCATGGCTTAGGCCAAGCAGGCTTTCCTGTACACACAGGACCACCTGGCAGGGAATGGTGCTGCTTAGGGGACCGTGCCCTCCTCTATCTACAGGACAGTCCCCCACAGACACACCCACAGGCCAATCCAGTCCAGGCAATTCTTCAATCAAGTTGTTCCTTTCAGATGGCTCCAGGCCGTGGCAGTTAACAGTTACAGGTGATCATGAACCTTTACCCCTTCTCTACTTGATATGCAAACACACATTAAACCATGACCTTTTGATGTCTTGGCCCCAAAGTCTTATGTTAATATTACAATACAACCATCAGCCAACTTTCACAATTCTCTGTCTTTAAAATCTTCAATACTTTTAAAATTCTAAGTCTCTTTAAAAGTTCAAGTCTTTTTTGTTTTTTGAGACAAAGTTTTAGTGTATAGCCCTGGCTGTCCTCGAACTCACTCTGTAGAACAGGCTGTCCTCGAACTCACAGAGATCCACCTGCCTCTGCCTCCCCAGTTTTGGGACTAGTCGTGTGCTACCACTGCCTGGCTCAATCCTATAGCTTTTTTTTTTTTTTTTGGATTTTCGAGACAGGGTTCCTCCGTAGCTTTTGGTTCCTGTCCTGGAACTAGCTCTAGTAGACCAGGCTGGCCTCGAACTCACAGAGATCCGCCTGCCTCTGCCTCCCGAGTGCTGGGATTAAAGGCGTGCGCCACCACCGCCCGGCCTAATCCTATAGCTTTTTATGTCTTAAAAGGAAACAGGACCTCACAGAGACCCTCAGACATTGCCACATTCAGCTGCTAGCTCGAGTATAGTCTTGGACCCCTCTGGACTACAACTCCATGTACTTTACCTGAGCAAACACTTTGTCCCAATAAAGCATAAATTTCACATCAATGGCATTGATCTCTTATTAACTGTAGCTGTTTGCCCCAGCTGACCAGCAACCACAGATTCTTAATAGAAAGCATCACACAGAGCCAGGCATGGTGGTGCAGTGCACACCTTTAATCCCAGTACTCAGAAGGCAGAAGAAGGCAAGCATCTCCTATGCACTCATAGAACCTGACAACACAATGAGGTGGGAATATCCCCAAACCCACCATCTCTACAAATGAAGACGCTGGGGCTTAGAAAGGTTGATTAACCTGCCCAGGACTTGACCACTGGAGAAACACGCTAATTCTAAAAGTAGAAGCTCTTACCCATTATTGTAAAACTTACAATGGTACAAGCTATCTGTTAGTGGACACAGAAAAGAGGCCCGGGACTAGAGGTCTACAGGACTTGCCTTGTATGCAGAGGGCTCTGGGCTCAACTCCCAGCACTGCATGAATAGGACAGGTAGTGACTTTGGGAGGTGGAAGCAGGAGAATCAGGAGTTCAATGTCATTACATCTCTAGCTCAAGGCCAAGCGGGGCTGCATGAAAACTCTGCCTCAGATATTAATGAGATAATTAAGCTCAACACAAGCATTAGGTGTAGAACATTAGGCTTGGGTTCAATCCCCAACATCACATAAATAAATAATAATGGTGGCCCAAGTGTCCAGAAAACCTTTGGATTGTGGTCCTTCCCACCACTCAGGTTCCATCTGTCCCAGCATGTCCCTACTTGGTTCTCTCAGCTCTCACACTAAGTCCAGGCTGAAGTCCCCTAAACTCCTGCCAAGCCCACGTTTATTTAGCTTCTCTATTAGGATTCCCACTGCGGAAGTGGATTTCTTTAGTTCTGTCTTCCACAGTGACTTTCCCAACACATCATTCCTCCTTCCTAATTTCCTCTCAGTCTCCTGCCTCAAGATCATAAACCCAACACAAGACCCCAAAGGCACGGAAGAAAACTTGGCATAGAACTGCCCTGTCAGACTGTCACTGACCAAGAAGAAGCAATACATAGAAGGCAGGACCTTCCCTGCACACCCAAGACTGCACACACTCAAGCCAGACGCAGTGTCTGAAAGGATCATCATCTATGGAAGTAGCCAGGCAGTGGTGACACACACCTTTAATCCCAGCACTGGGAGGCAGAGGCAGGAGGATCTCTGTGAGTTTGAGGCCAGCCTGGTCTACAAGAGCTAGTTCCAGGACAGGCTCCAAAGCTACAGAGAAACCCTGTCTCGAAAAACCAAAAAACCTCTCTCTTCCATCTCCTGGTAGAACTGTCTGGAATAGGCTTTTTTCCTTATCCTGTTTTCTTGCAAGGGCAAAACTCCCAGATGCATAGTGGTGACCTCAAGCCGAACAGGCCACTTTCCTGTGTTTACATTTAAAAAAATTTCTGAGAATTGTCATTCATATTACTAGAAAATTTTTAAAAATCCAAACCACTTGAGTAACGTTCAAAAGGACTATTTCTCTCCACCCATCATCACTCCATAGTTCTGGGAACAGTACCCAGGATGAAGCATATGGTGACATACCTCCATTCCTGAGCTAGTCAAATGGCACACCCCCCTCTCGCCAGGGCCTCACCATGCAGCCCTGGATGTCCTAGAATTCACTCTGTAGACCAGGTTGGCCTTGAACTCAGAGATCTGCTTGCCTCTGCCTCCTGACTGGTGGGATTAAAGGCATATACCACAATGCCTGACTCTGAATCTGTCTCTTTTCTTCTTTCTTTTCTTTTCTTTTTTTTTTTAATGATAAGGTCTCATATAGCCTGGGCTAGCCCAGAACTTCTGGTCATCTGGCCTGAGCAACCCAAACACTGAATTTAGAGGTGTGGACTATTGCACTCAATTTTAATTGCTGCTGTTTGGTTGAATTTTAAGACAAAATTTCAGCTGGCAGTGGTGCCTTTAATCCCAGCATTTGGGAGGCAAAGATAGGCAGAGTTCTATGAATTTGAAGCCAGCCTAGTCTACAAAGTGAGTTCCAGGACAGCCAGGGCTGCTACACAGAGAAACCCTGTCATCCTCTGCATCCCCATCCCCTAAAAGACACATTTTCATGTTCCTAGGCTGTTCTAGAATTCACTTTGGTGCCTCCAGCCTCTACCTCAGAGTATAGCACCACTCCCAGTTTTGCCTGGTGCTGGCGACCAAATCCAGGGCATTATGCAGCCGAGTTACAACTGAGTTTTCTCTCCAGCCCCACAAATCTCACTGTTGCCCTCTTCCTCTTCTCTCTCCCCTCCCAATGTGAGCGTCTGGCTGAAAAGTTCCCACACTTCAGGCTTCAAGTCTGGTACCACCAGAATAAAGTTTCCTTACACCCTTCGGGGCATTCCGCCTAAGAAGCTGGCACACATTCTCATATGGAAAATCAAAGACAGCTGCATCAACACAACAGGCACACGCTTGACTCGGGGAGCATTTCTGCAAAGCAGGCCGAATAGCTGTCTAGAAAGGCCGTTTCCACATTGCAACAAACAGCAATGACAAACAGCCGAGGCAAAGGGGCTGCAATACACCCCGGAGAGCGCTATGATAATTCAAGTCTGGAGTTCGTACTGACGGAATGAAATACAAATTTTAATACTGTCTTTGAACGAAGTTTACCTCAAAACCCAATGCCCTGTGGATCACTATAGTACCTATTCAGGAAGATGGAATCACTCCAAAGCTTTTGCACTCAGTTTCCGGGTAACGTTTAAAATCCATCCAGCAGATATTTTCCTAGTTCTCAAGGCTTTGACAAACGGCTGTCAGTAAAGTGGATCTGATCTTTCCCATATTTGGAAAGAATTTAGGAGGGAAGGAGGAGTACCTCACAACGCCGGTTTTCCCCCACTGCCTCTCACCCACGTCCCTCTAAGCGCTCGGGCTTCTGCTCTCAGGACACCTCTAGAGAAGGAAACCCCCCAGGGCATCCCAAAGCTGACTTGCACCAAGGTCACAGGACATTTTACCAACTTTTTGGTTCCGAGGGGGAACTAACGAGCAAGAGTTGACTCTGAAGACCTGGTTCCAGGGACCGTTACAAAGGACTCTAAAGGCCCAGCCACTGCGCTTTCCCCTTTGCTTGGCACAATAAGGGGTGCTGGGCTAACGTTCCCCAAAACGGGTTATCCTAGGACCGCGTGCGGGGTGCTTACCAAGCCCCGCAGGCCAAACCGCCCCAGTCCTCCAGCAGACAACCTCGGCCCGGAAGCTAGCGAAGGGAACACCGCACCGCGCTTTCATTGGTTCCACGCAGCCGGAAGTACGCGCGTCCAGCGGAAGTGCTCCTCCGGCCTGGTCCGCCCGGCCCGGGCCGTCAGGGGCGGGGCGCTTGGATCCAAACCCTAGGATCTGCTGGCCGGAGGCGGGCGGGCAACGCCAGGGAAGAAGGAGGTTGTCCGGTTCCCGATCACACGCCGAGCGTTTCGTAGGCGTCGGACCCCACGCCACAGCAGCTGAGCACCGCGCCCCGGCGGGAACCCGGCCTCCGCGGGACCTGCGCGGACCGGAGCTACGAGTTCGTCCGCAGGGAGGAGGTTGGCGGCCGAGGGTGCCGCTTTCCCTGATTCCTGTCCCCGGTGGTCCTGGGTCGAGCGCTGCTCACTTCCGACCCTGAGAAGGTGTGCTTTCTGCCCTTGCCTTTCGTGCTTCTGAGTTGGACAGTTTTCCTCAAGGCGTTTCCTGGGCGTTGTGGCCTCATCAGAGGAAACCTCAGAAAAAGCTACAGGAGGCACAGTCCAGGAGTTAAACGCCCTCTGTTGCGTCTTCCTAGGAGTGGAAAGTGTATTTCAGTTACAGGCTACTTATACTTAAGGGGAAGTTATCTGGACGTCTGTAGGCCAAGTTCATACATAGCAAATAAAACTACTTAATAGTTTCCCTTGGTCTAGCCAACTCCACCCCTCGGAGGTTTGACGTTCGAGCCTCCTTGTAAACCCTATGAACAATTACGCTTTTCTCAAACTGACGACACTCCGAGCTTCCAAAGTTGGCGGTTTGTGCAATCCGAGAAGCCCGATCAGCATGAATGAATGTCCCCTTCCTCTCCAGCTGACAGTACTGGAGGGCCATTTCTGCAGATTTGAAGAAAATGCATCTCTTATCTTTATTACTAGGTGGTGCCAGTGAGTTAAATCTTCCTGTCATAAATCTGTAGCGTGTGGTTAAAGCTTTTTAAAAAGCCTCAGTATTCCCTGAAATTTATTCAGAATAACTTTGCTTCTTGAGACTGAATTGTGGCTTGGGGATGTGGCCTGGCGGTAGGGGGCACACTTAGTATGCTGGTTCTTCCTATTTCCCCCAAAAGGAGAGAGACAGATTTTTCTATTAAACAGTAAAAACTTACTGGGCAGGGGATTTTCTTAATGGTAGAGTGCTTGCTTAGGCACGAATGAGACCCTGAGTTCAATCTCCTGCAAAAAAAGAAAAGAAAAAGGCTGGGCCTGTTGGCGTATACCTGTAATCCTAGACATACTATAGTCTCTTCAGTTTTGTTTTTTGGTTTGGTTTGGGTTTTGGTGTGGCACTGGCTGTCCTGGAAATCACTCAGTAGACCAGGCTGGCCTTGAACTCAGAGTTCCCTCGCCTCTGCCTTCCAAGTGCTAGGATTAAAGGTGTGCGCCACCACTGCCACTCCCAGCATTTTATATTTTCTTAATTTTGAATTGTACTGGTATGTTCAGTCTTCTTAAGTAACCAAATCCAATGTACTCCATGTGGGTTTATCATTCTTATAGTGATTAAAATGGCTTCCAGAGGAAAGACAGAGACAAGCAAATTAAAGCAGAATTTAGAAGAACAGTTGGATAGACTGATGCAGCAATTACAAGATCTGGAGGAATGCAGGTAATAATATAATTATGTGTCATTACTCTGTTTCTGATGGAGAGAGTTCAAGCTCCATGGATGTGACTTTGGTCTCCTCTGTAGTGTTCTACAGCACTCTGCCTGTGGGAAAAGTAAACTTCTCATAAAGCCTGGGATGTGGAAGACTTAAAATATTCCTGGAAATAGCTAAGCTTACGTTGTCTTTAGTATTTAAAACAGCTCTGTCTAGAATGAACTCCTAGCTAATTGCTCAAAATGCTGTGATTGGGCTGTGGGCGTTCTTCTGCGGATGAGTGGGCGCCTAATACACCAGAGGCTTGGACTCAATTCCCAGCATCAAAGAAGGGAGGGAAGAGAGGGAGGTTGTACACTCCTATATCCCAGCACATGTGAGGTAGATGCAGGAGAATCAGAAGCTCAAGGTCCTTCTTGCCTACATTGTGAGTTTCAGGCCAACCTGACTGTATGAGACCCCATTTCAATAAAGCAGAAGAAAACAAGCTATTAATTGTAGTTTTTATAACCTCCCAAGGATGCTGTAAATATGGAAATGAAAGAGACAATATAGTGCTTGGCCTAGAGTAAGTTCCCCGTAAATGGTAGCTGAGCGTGTAGAGCTCTTGTTACTTGTAGTAAATATTTAATAAGCAGCTTGTTTGGTAAATAAAAATAGCTTTTTACTCAGCTGACAGGTGTGCCGCTCTGCTCGCCAGTGGGCACACAAGGTGCTTCCCGCCATTGATGAGACGGAAGCTAACAGCAACCGTTTACCGTTACTATAGACGCCAGGCGTTTCCTTCTTAATGAACACTTAGGAAAAGGCACTATAGTGATCTGAAGTTGTGTAGACAACTGAGGTTTGTCCCTGTTCATGCCTTGCCCGAGGTTATACAACTGGTCTCTTTAGGAGAAGGTACTGTGTGCCTAAGCGTGCCTCCTGGGGCAAGGGGAGATAACACACACTCAGCCCCGGGTTCAGCCGCAGTGAAAGACAATGGAGATGCCAGTAGCTCAACTCTGTGGACATGTGCCGCTCCAGCTGGTACTCCCCTTCAGCCTTGCTCTAGATCGAGTACCGAGGTTTTCAGGCTTAGACGTGTTTTCTGCACTCTGATGTAAACTGTGCTTCAGAGAGGAGCTTGACACCGACGAATATGAAGAAACTAAAAGGGAAACACTGGAGCAGCTGCGTGAATTCAGTGACTCCCTAAAGAAGATTATGTCGGGAAATATGACCTTGGTCGATGAGCTCAGCGGCATGCAGCTGGTAAGAGGAACTGACCAGTCGAGTCTTCTGTGCATGGCTTGTTGTTTGCTTCTTTGTGAGTGTATTTCAGATAGAAAATGTGCACTTCGAAAGCCAAGGACCGAGCTCTGTGGTACTGTACGTGCCTAGCAAGTACAAGACCCTAGATTATTTCCCAGCATCTCAAAATAAAACATAAATAAGTGAAGGAAAAGAAGAAAGAAAAAGTGCTGTGTTTCTGAGATTGCTTCTAGATTTTGTGTCTGCTTGGCTCCACTAATGTGCTCAGAAATTATAAATTGAAACTGATCTCAAGCTGGGCGGTGGTGGCGCACGCCTTTAGTCCCAGCACTTGGGAGGCAGAGGCAGGTAGATCTCTGTGAGTTCGAGGCCAGCCTGGGCTACAAGAGCTAGTTCCAGGATGGGAACCAAAAAAGCTACAGAGAAACCCTGTCTCGAAAGAAAAAAAAAAAAAAAAGAAACTGATCTCAAACACTAAAACCTATTAACTAAGACTCATTAGTCCAGTATCGCAGATGTAATTGTGTAGAATGTTTTGGTTAGTTTTTGTGTTCCTGTGTTTCCAGGCTATTCAGGCGGCTATCAGTCAGGCCTTTAAAACACCGGAAGTTATCAGATTGTTTGCAAAGAAACAACCAGGTCAACTTCGGACAAGGTTAGCAGAGGTAAAGTTTCTTCACGTTGATCCAGTTGCTGTGTGTGTTTGTCTTCCAAGCCCGTGACTGTACTGATTGTAGTAGCCTACTGTTTACAATTTGCTCAGTTGGTGTTAGAGCCACAGCCCTCAAGTTTTTGACAGTTTGTACCTTGGACAGTTATAATTCATAATAAATGAATGTTTTAACAGCATGTGGCTATTTAAATCTCCCCCAGCCACTTCTCTTGGCCTCCACCTTTAGTATTTTGTCCTTTATATCTGGGGCCCTAACTCGAGATCCTCTTTGGAATTCAGCATCAGCATTGTTCCTGGGTATGCACTGTTAATCTTTTTTTTTTTTCTTCAGATTTCTTTCTAATTTGTTTTTGGTTTTTCTAGACAGGGTTTCTCTGTAGCTTTGGAGCCTGTCCTGGAACTAGCTCTTGTTCCAGGCTGGCCTGTGCCTCCCGAGTGCTGGGATTAAAGGCGTGTACCACCACCAGGCTGGCCTGTGCCTCCCGAGTGCTGGGATTAAAGGCGTGTACCACCACCACCCAGCTTATTTCTATTGTTTTGAGTGATGTTTGCGGATGTCTGTAAAGTGCACATGTGCACAATTGTGCAGATGTCCTCAGAGGCCAGAAGCATCAAATATCCTGGAGCTACAGGAGGTTGTGAACAGCCTGAAGTGGATGCTGGGAATTGAACTCGTGTCCTCTCAGAGCAGCACACAGTTCCTAATCACTGAGCCATTTCTTCTGCTTGTCCAGTATCTTTTTGTTTCTTTCTTTTTCTTTGAGACAGGGTTTCTTTATCTCTGTGCTGCATAGAGGAGCTCTGTAGCCCTGACTGTCCTGTAGGCCATATTGGCCTAGAACTCAGAAATCTGCCTGCCTCTGCCTCACGAGTGTTGATATTAAAGGTGTGTGCCTCCTCTGCCTCTTTCTTTTCTTTTTTTTATTTTTTTATTTTATTTTTATTTATAAATTCTTACTTCCAGAAATCTTTCCGTGGACTTGAATATAATTACGGACTAATAGGTAATTTCCATCTACAAGTAATTCAGTAGACTAGTAAGAGCATAACTTTAGGGAATGGAGAGATGACCCCCTTGGTAAAGTATGCCAGGTGAGCAGCACACACAGTGGTCCTGGCACTGGGGAGACAGAGACCAGAGGCTCCCTGGGGCTCTTGCCAGTGAGAGACCCTGAAATTGACCTCTAGCATGACTCAGACACGCTTGTATACACATAGGAGCACATACACACACGGGGAAACATCATAGATTAAGATGAGATTATTGGGGGCTGGAGCAGTGGCTCGGTAGTTAAGAGCACTGACTGCTCTTCCAGAAGACAAGTGTTCATTTCCCAGCACTCACGTGGCCGCTCACAACCCTCACTAACTCTATACCAAGGTACCCAACACCCTCTTGTAGACTTATACAGACAAAACACCAATGCACATGAAATAAGAACAAGGGGAAAAAATATATTTATATATATAAATTATATAATTTATATATTATATAAAATATATATATATATATACACAAAAGATGAGGTGAGTTGGGTCTGAGTTCCTGCTGTGCATCCTGGGTAGGGCAGGCAGCCTTTGGTGAGTTGTTGCAGTCACCCTTGTATCGTGTACCTTCATTTTCTTCTTTTTTTTTTTTTTTAAGGTATTTTTTTTATTATTTATTTATTATGTATACAGTATTCTGTGTGTATGCCTGAAGGCCAGAAGAGGGCACCAGACCTCTTTACAGATGGTTGTGAGCCACCATGTGGTTGCTGGGAATTGAACTCAGGACCTTTGGAAGAGCAGGCAATGCTCTTAACCACTGAGCCATCTCTCCAGCTCCCTCGTTTTCTTATCTGTAAGGTGACTATGTCAGTTTCTACTTGTGGATGTCATGTGGGTTTGATGACACTTAGAAGCTGGCTGCAGTCCCAGCTCCTTGGGAGCCAAAGGGAAGATCATTTGAGGTAGGGCAGGCCTGGATAACACAAGAGACCCTGTCTCAAGAGTAAGAAGGGCCAACAATGTGGTGCTTCTGGTAAAGGTACTTGCCACCGAGCCTGATGACCTGAGTTTGCTTGGGCCCATGTGGTGGAGGGGAACTGACTCCTGAAAATTGTCCTCTGAGCTGTGTTCATGCACTGTGAACACAAAGTAAATAAGTAAATGTAATTTAAATAATAAGAATGGGGGAATGTAGAGTGAGAGAATCACTTCCATGTCCTCTGACCTCTACACGCATGCTGTGGTATGCCTGCTCACATGCATACAACACACACAATAACAAAATTTAAAAAGAAAAGGTAATACAATATTCTGTCTGTGTGTGTGTATACCTGCAGGCCAGAAAAGGGCACCAGACTCCATTACAGATGGTTGTGAGCCACCATGTGGTTGCTGGGAATTGAACTCAGGACCTTTGGAAGAGCAGACAATGCTCTTAACCTCTGAGCCATCTCTCCAGCCCCCAGTAATAATAATCTTAAAATGTATTAAAACTGGGCTGATGTGGTAGCTTATGTCGGTGGCCTTAACATTTAGGAGTCTGAGGCAGGAGAGTTACCCACATGTTTTGAAGTCAGCCTGAACTACAGAGTGAGTCAAAAAGCAAAAATGGAAAGTAAAAACTGTTCTAGGCCAGCAAGATGGCTCAGTGGGTAAGGCCACCAGGCCTGACAGCCTGACCTGATTTGATTTCCATCTCCAGACCCACATGGTAGGAGAGAATCACCTGCCACAACTTGTCCTCTGATTTCACACAAAAGCCCAGGCATGCACACTCACACACAAGAACATACATGTACGCACATGCACACATGCACACATACATACACATGCATATACACACATATATACACACACAGATAAACAATGAAGGTAATTTTTTTTTTAATTTCAAAAACTTACCTGATGGCACTTATGTCGTGACGTTTCAGATTATTTCTATATTTTTTTATATTAACCAAGTACTTTTGTTTTTGTTTTAAGAAATAGGACTGGCTGGGCGGTGGTGGTGCACACCTTTAATCCCAGCACTCGGGAGGCAGAGGCTCTGTGAGTTCGAGGCCAGCCTTGTCTACAGAGTGAATTCAGGACAGCCAGGGCTGTTAGAGAAACCCTATCTCGACAAACCACAAGCAGAACAAAAAAACTAAGAAGCAGCACTGAAAAGCTGGGTTTTCTACACAGACTGCCTTTTGCTCATGTGCACACGCCTTGCCTTTGCTCTTTAGATGGACAGAGATCTGATGGTGGGGAAGCTGGAAAGAGACCTGTACACGCAGCAGAAAGTGGAGATTCTCACCGCTCTCAGGAAGCTCGGAGAAAAGGTCCTGGCACGCAGTGTGATCGGCTAATAGAACATTTGTGTTGTGCTTGTTACAGAACGTGCTGCGATGTGGTCTAGAGATCTAAGAAATTAAGAAAAATGATTTTAGGTTTATTTTAAGTGTGTGAATGTTTTGTCTGCTTGTATGTGTGTATGCTATGTGCATGTGTGCCTGGTGTCCAAGAACGTCAGCAGACAGTAGTGGATCCCCTGGAACTGGAGTTTGGGTTGGTTGTGAGCTGTATGTGGGTACTGGGAATGCACCAGGCTCCACTGCAGGAGCAGTGAGTGCTTTTAATTGCTGGGCCCGCCTCAGCCCCTAAGCCTTCCTTACTGCGGGCCCAGGACTTGCTCTGACCCTTGCTCTCACCCACTGCACTTTGTCTCACCTGTGCAGCTGACCGACGATGACGAGGCCTTCCTGACAGCCAATGCAGGTGCTGCGCTCAGCCAGTTTGAGAAAGTCTCCACAGACCTAGGTGAGTGAGTTTCCTCTTCGTTCCCTCTCCCTTCCCATTTCTTTCCCTCCCCTCCCCTCCCCTCTGCTCCTCTTGCTTGATTTTACTCCTTTTCTTCTGTCTTTTAGAGTAAACATAGATTTATTAAGGAAAGTAAAAGAACTCCCAGGAGTAGAAGGGTCTTAAGGGAGAGATACTGTGTGTGTGTGTGTGTGTGTGTGTGTGTGTGTGTGTGTGTGTGAGAGAGAGAGAGAGAGAGAGAGAGAGAGAGAGAAGGGGGGAGGGAGGGAGGGATGGAGGGAAGGGTGATCAAACCCCATCACCTTGTGCTTGAGACAACATAATGACCTTTCTTCGAGTTTAAAGTGACAGAATTATTCATATTTGATTTTCTTTCTGTGTGTCTGTATGTGCATGTGTTTGTGCATATGAGTGCTGGTGTCTGAAGAGGCCATATGAAAGTCCTGGGTCCCGGACCTTGAGTGAGCAGGTGGTTGTGAACTACCCATGTGGGTACTGGGAGCTGAACCGGGATCCTCTGGAAGAGCAGCCAGTACTCTTAACCGTTGAGCTATCTTTCCAGCCCAGAACTATTTTCTTCAAAAATCCTTTAAATTAGTTATATTTTACAGTTCTAAAAAGAGATTTCTTTTTTATGTATGCATGTGTGGTGTGTATGCATACGGTCATGCAGAATGGAGCCTTCGATCCTGGAACCTAGAGTTAAAGATGCCTGTGAGCTTTCTTTTTTTTTTTTTTTTTTTTTTAAATATTTATTTATTATGTATACAATATTCTGTCTGTATGCCTGAAGGCCAGATGAGGGCGCCTGACGTCTTTACAGATGGTTGTGAGCCACCATGTGGTTGCTGGGAATTGAACTCAGGACCTTTGGAAGAGCAGGCAATGCTCTTAACCACTGAGCCATCTCTCCAGCCCTGTCTGTGAGCTTTCTGATGTGGGTGCTAGGATCCAGTTCAGCTCCTCAGATAGCACACTAGCCATTCTTCACCACAGATCTGACTTTTTAGCCTTTCCTTTCATTCCTTTTCTATGCAGGCTCTTACCAGGGACCCTCATCTGGCCTTGAACTCAGCATCTCTCTGCCTTTACCTCCCAAGTGCCAGAACCATGAGCATGTACCACACACTTAGCCCCAGTATTCTAAAAAAATAAAATAAAGCAGATGAGTTTTCAGAAAATTACATGCCATGTTGTTGGAAAGATGGTTCAGAGTACTGGCTGCTCTTCCAGGGGGCCTGGTTGAATGCCCAGCACCCACATGATAACTCATAACCGTCTGTAGCTCTGGTTCCAGGGGCTCTGGTGGCCCTTTCTGGCTATAGGCACCAGGCATGCACAGGTGCACATCCACATGAAATAAATTGTTTGTTTTTGTTTTTTGAGACAGGGTTTCTCTGTAGTTATACTGTTAAGTCCTGGCTGTACTGGGACTCACTCTATAGATCATGCTGCCCTCAAACTCACAGAGATCCTCCTGCCTCTGCCTCCCGAGTGCTTGGGTTGAAGGTGTGCTCCACCACCGCCTGGCTTCCCCTTCCTTTTCTTGAGATGCTCCTTTACTGTGTTGTCTAGCCTTGCCTTCACCTCTCAGCTGAAGTCATCCTCCTGCCTCAGCTGTCATGTAGCTAGGACTGTAGGAACACACCAACATTCTTAGCTGTTTTTCCTTTTTTAAAGAATTATGTATTTTAAAAATTTACATGTATGAGTGTTTTGGTTCCATGCATATGATGTCTTGGCGGTCCATTAGAGTGTGTTGGGTCCCCTGCAACTGGAGTTACGGTTGTGAACTGATGTGTATACTGGGAATCAGACCGGAGCCCTCTAGCAAGTGCCCTTAATCCCCAAGCACTGGCTTCTTAGCCCCAGTATCCCCAGCTTTGCAGCTGTGTTCAAATACCTTTCAGCAACATGTAATTATAACAGTAAATGAGAATTTTACATATTTGCCTTCAAACCTAGAACTGAGTTAGGATTCGTCACCAGGAAGCCACTCGTGTGGCCGGAGTGTTTATGGAGGGGTAGGAGATCCAGATGGCAGCCGGCTTTGTTGAGGTTAATGCATCTGATTGCTGTTCTGTGTCTATGTGGTTCTTACCTGGGACTGTAAATGCCTTGAAATAACCTTTTTATTTTGTGTCTTTTCCTTAGGCTCTGGAGATAAAGTCCTTGCTCTGGCAGGTTTTGAGGTTGAAAAAGCCAAGAAATGACATTGCGGCGGCTTGGCGCCACCAGCCCCATCGTAGCTGCACATGGTGCTTTCATCCTGAGGACTTGGAGATTCTCACAATGCCCAAGAGCAGGTGACGCGGAAACAGTGTGGCTTCTGTTAGGTCCTTCATCCTAGAAGGTCCTTGTCCTTCTCTGTATGGGGCTACCTTCAATGACCCTGGGCTTGTTGACACACAGGACCTGCTGGACTCTTTCTGATGGTTCCATCTATTACGACGCCTTGTGTTTAGTGCTGATAGTGAAAGCTGTGAGCTAGTGATTGTCTTGATTCTCGTCTGCACGCCTTGAGGAGACTGGTACGGTGATGTCACTAGCCCTCCTGTGTCTGTAGACTTTTAGAAACCTTTTCATTTTCCCACAAGGAAACCAAGACACAGAAGGAGCATGTGATCTGTCTAAAGTCACATTAGGGACAGAGCTATGGCTCTGACTCAGGTGTCTTGACCCCTGGTTTTATTTTTTTATTCTATACTGTTTCAGTTTTTTTGTTTTTGTTTTTTTGTTTTAATAATTAACTTGTATTTGTGCAAGTTGGCGTCTATGAAAATTCCGTGTCCTAACCCAGAGTTGAGTGGACACTGAGGGGCTGTTCCCAGCCTGTGATGGGCAGCATGAATGGGGCCCATTGTATCTCTGAATTTCTAACAAGCAACAATGGGAGGCCCTGTTGAGAGCCTCCTGAAGTAACTTAACCTCCTGCCTTGTCTCGGTGGGGAAGCAATAGGAAACGGCAGCCGCAGGCTCTCTGAGTGTGACCTCTTGCCAACTCTGAGGGTGGTAACAGTAAGTTACTGTAAACTGTGCAGTTTGGGGGAAACACAAACCTAGTTTCTCCCTGAGAGCGGTGACTCTGCACGGGCAGCTGCACAGCCATGTCCTTACATGTACTTCCCAGGAGCCCTTTCTGTGTTTCTCACTGGTTTTTTGTTTTTGTTTTGGTTTGTTTTTTTGCACTTTCTACAAATTAAAAACATTTTTACTGCTTCTTATAAGCTTAACTCCACTAGGTGCTGTGCTACCTGGACAAACTAGGGAACCTCAGCTATGTAGATGCCTTATTTGGAACTTGTAATGTCTTTGGGATTATTTTGAAAGGGGTGGGTCTCTGGGCCAACCAAATGGCCCAGTAGGTACAGGTGCCTCCTGCCAAGCCTAGTAGCCCAAGTTTAATCTCCAGATCCACCTGGTAAAGGAAGAGAGCTGACTTTTACAAGTTCTTCTGACCTCCACATATGTGCCATGTCCCATATGTGTGCACGCATACACACACGTACCCACATACACACTCAATAAGTAAAAGAAAAATTGTAAAGGGTTCTCTCTGGGTTGGAGTCCTAGGCTCAGACTCTTCTCTGGCCTCAGCCTCCCAAGAAGCCGTTTCTGTGGATGAGTGCCACTGTGCCTCACCAACAGGCTGTCTCCGTTTGCTGTCTACTGACATCAGTCACTGAAGGGCAGCACACCCAGAAAGGCTGAGCACCCGTTGTGACCTACGGTTTGTGTGTAGGGCACCACCGTTTTGTAGCAATGAAGCTCATGTTAACACGGAGGTCACTGTGTCAAGACGTAGACTCAGTAGCAGTACGTCCACAGTGCTGTGCAGTTCCCAGCCTAGTGCCAAGTCATCCTTTTATTCCATCACCCCCCGCAGGAGAACCTTGTAAGCAATCACTCCAAAATGCCTTCCTCCCAGCCTTCCAGCATCCGCTGGTCTGCTCTCCTGTCCCCTGACCTTATCTCTCTGGATAGTTCACATGAATGGATGTGTGATTATGCACTTTGTGGCTTTGGTATGTATCTGGCTTCTTCACTTCATACAATATTTTATTGCTAACCCACAGTGTAACACACTTCAATACTTCATTTCTTTTTAATGGCAGAATAACACTTCTCTGTATAAATACTGCATTTTGTTTAGCGTGTGTCTGATGAGCATCTGTGTTCTTTTTTTTTTTTTTTTTTTTTTTTTTTTTTTTAAATTTATTTATTTTACATATATAGTGTTCTGGGCACCAGATCTCATTATAGATGGGTGTGAGCCATCATGTGGTTGCTGGGAATTGAACTCAGGACCTCTAGAACAGCAGTCAGTTCTCTTAACCTCTGAGCCATCTCTCCAGCCCGAGCATCTGTGTTCTTGTCACAGCCTCAGCTCCTGTGAATGGTGCCACTATGAAATGTCTACACAGGCACTTGTTGAATGCCTAGTTTTTCAGTTCCCTTTGGGCAGTACCTAGTCACAGAATTGTGATGTTATTTTTAAGCCCTAACAAGATGACCTTATGCCTCATGATCCGCCAGTAAACCCAGGAATCTAAGAGTACTTTTCATCTGAAAGAGGCTCGTGTCAGTCTGGAACCCTTAATCTTGGTGACCTTTAAACATTGTTAAAGAACAGCACCAGACCACACCTGTAACCCCAGTACTGGGAGGCAGAGACTGGGGGATGAAGAAGTTGAGACCAACCAGGGCTTCCTGGTGAAACCTATCTCAAGTCAAAAAGCAAATCAGACGACCAGATCAGCGTAGTGAGGCCCTTACTGCTCACAGATCCACCTCCTGTACTTACAGCTATCCTCTATTAGAGGACGCTGGTGTCTGTGCTCACCTCAGTTACTTCATCCTTTTCTCTTTCGGTTTTTGAAACAGGGTTTCTCTGTGTCACAGTCCCGACTGTCACGGAACAATCTCACTTTGTAAACCCGGCTAGCCTCGACCTCACAGTGCGCCACCACACCCGGCTCAGTTACTTCATCCTATGGAGCCTCCCTTTCTGCAGGCCTACCTTGTACCTTACTTCACATCTCCCTTCCTTAGTACAGACTAGCATTGGTGCTAACCCACCGGTCAGCTGCTGAGTTTAGCACTGTTTGACATGTGCTTCCCCGATGTCACGTTCACCAGGAAGTTCTGTGCAGTGCAGTTATTAAATGCTCGTAAGCCATGTCTCCTCATTTGCATACTTTTCCAATCTCTGTAACTTGGATGGTCCTGTCACACAGCACATAGCCTCTTAACATTCTTATGTCAAGATGTTTTGGGGAAAGTCCTGCATTCAAGCCAGGTGTGGTGACACACACCTCGATCCTAGCAGTGAGGAAGCAGAGGTTGGCAGGTCTCTCAGCTCCAGGCCAGCCAGGGCTACAATCCAAGACCGTGTCTCAAAATAGATAAATAAATGTCCTCATTTCTCAATGAATTAAGGCTGAAGCAAAAAAATCAGTTCCGATGAGTGAGTGTCTGCATGAGCTGTTGGTGAGATCAAGAAAACAGATTTTTTTTTTGTTTGATCTTGTGAACTACAAAACAGGTAGGTGGTTTTCAAGGAGAAAACCAAGGCTTCGTGGGGGGAAAACACCTTGTTGGCTTTGACGGTTGGAGTTCACTGAAGGCAGCATGCCGAGGAAAGGCTGTCTTCCTGCAGACATGATGGGCAGTTGGAATCACCGTGGAGTAAGTGATCCGGCCATCACCACAGCGGTCACTCACCTTCCTGGCTGCTGTTTGTTGTGTTTGGTTTTTTTCTCTGTATTTTTTCTATTACAGAGACCTTTCTATTACTTTGCCTCTCGAAATGTTTTTCCAGAATTAGTATGGAAATTAAAACTGCCAGCATTTCACACACAGACTCCCAGGAACAAATTGGGCCATATAATTACTTCCATTCTGTCTGGCTCTAGGAGTCAAAAAAGATATTAGAAACTGGAGAAAAGTGTTCAATATTTCAGGCTTCTATAAACCAGCTGAAAGTATGGCTTTTAGTAGATAATCCCCAAATGTATGTCACTCATGACATCTAACTCACCTCCATTTTGATGTTTTTCTCACTATTTCCATTGATCTCACAGTATAGAGACCATGTTGCTGGCAGCGCCTTGAATACGAGGGGTCACACTCTTCCCCGCAGATCTAGCACTTAATGAGGTTTGAGTTGGAAGCACCCTAATGTTTGTCATTTGTATATAGGGGTTTCATTGCTCACAGCCTCTGTCAGCTGGCTCAGATACCTGGAACAGGGGGTGGATCTCAGTGGAAGAGCACTTACCATACATGCTCCAGACCCCTTTATTGGAGAGGGAGGAAGGGAGAGAGAGAGAGAGAGAGAGAGAGAGAGAGAGAGAGAAAGAGAGAAAGAGAGAGAGAGAGAGCTCGCGCCAGTCAGGTTTTGTTGTTGTTTGTTTTTGTTTTTTAATGAATGTAAAATTTTGTATCAAGCCGGTTGGTGGTAGTGCACACCTTTAATACTAACACTTAGGAGGCAGAAGCAGGCGGATCTCTGAGTTCTAGGACAGCCAGGACTACACAGAGAAACCCTGTCTTGAAAAGAAAATTACTGTATCAAAAGAGCACATCCAACATTGGTGCAGTCCTCAGGAAAGACTTCGTCTCTTTTGAGTCATGATCTCTCATTGACCTCAAGGTCAGTGTTTAGGCTAGACCAGCTAGGGACCCCAGGCACCCACCATTGTCTCCCTAGTGCTGGGATTAACCAATATGTGCCACCACATTAGGTTCTGTGTTCTAAGACTGGAATTTAGGTCCCTGTGTTCAAGACAACCAATGTACTTACTGAAGCATCCCTCTAGGTTCTGGCCCTCCCTCCCTATTGTGTGAATGACAGCAATCCTGAAAAGGGTTATTTCTAAAATCATGTATCAGCCATGGATTCTCTGCCCCAATTTCTAGCAACTGTAACCATGAACTTCTGGTACATTCTCCAGTGCCTCTGATGAAACCGTGTTCCAGACATTATTTCAACACGAGTTAAGAATGTACATTCTCAGATGGGCGGTGGTGGTGCACACCTTTAATCCCAGCACTCAGGAGCCAGATGCAGTCTACAATAGAGTTCCAGGACAGCCAGGGCTACACAGAAACTCTGTCTCAAAAAACAAAAGGATGTAAGTTATCTTTTAAATTTTATTCATTTGGGTTTTTTAGACAGCCTCCAGCCCAGGATATCCTAGAATACACTGGGTAGCGTGCTGGCATTGCAGGCATGAGGCTCCACACTGCCTCATAAGAGTGCTGTCGGGGCTGGAGGGGTGGCTCAGCACCCAATAGCACTGGCTGCTCTTCCCGAGGACCTGGGTTCAATGCCCATCACCCACATGGCAGCTCGCAATTGTAACTTCAGTTCCAGGGAATCTGACACCTTCACACAATGCACATAAAGCTAAATAAAATAATAAAAAATGTAAAAGTGTGCTATCAAGCAGTCAGCTCTTATTTATTTTTATCACCATCAAATTGCCATATTATTTGAGACTATACTATAAGAGGAGTTTGTTTAGGGTTCTGGTAAGATGGCTCAGTGGATAAAGGCACCTGTTGCTAAGCCTGACAACCTAAGTTCAGTCCTGGGGACCCACATGAAAGCAATTAACATCAATGATAAAGAGACAGGTAGTTTAGGTCAGAGTAAACGTTTGCCAGAAATGGATTGTATCATGGCCATGTCTATGGTTTGTCCATGGCCGTAGGAAATCTGGAGCTTTGCTGTTTCATCTTTGGAAACAGTGGCCTTTTGTTAGAACCTGAAGTTCACAGCTAGTTGATCCTGATTCTTGACGAATGTACCTTAGGTCTACTTTATGAAGTTTTTAGACCTACTGAAATACCGTCTCATGCTTACTCTGAGCATCTGTTCTCTTGGAGCACACACAGCCAACCCTGTCCCTGGCCTCAGCCTCACGGCGCCTCCCTCAGGCCATCTCCGAAAGTATGAGCGGCTTGTTCTGTGCCAGTAAATAGCAAGAGCAAGATCCCACATGAAGTTTTTAGACAGACACAGTGCTCTCAGGAAGTCAAAACATGGACCCTGCTCTGCATCTCAAAATAGACACCTCTCGGGCTGGAGGGATGGCTCAGTGGTCCTGAGTTCAATTCCCAGCAACCACATGGTGGCTCACAACCATCTGTAATGAGGTCTGGTGCCCTCTTCTGGCCTTCAGGCATACACACAGACAGAATATTGTATACATAATAAATAAATAAATATTAAAAAAAAATAGACACCTCTCTTCAGGACATCAGACGGCCAGCAGAACCCTCCAGCTCGGCATTTCTGACCACCTACTGTATGACTTGTACCAGAATGGGAGGTACATTGTGCCAGAGTTCTTTGGCTTTGGGGAATCTCGCCCTGTGTATTTATTAAACAGTTCCAGGGACCAAACCTCAGAGAGCACACACACATACTAGGCAAGTGCTCCACGTTTGAGCTCTACCTCCAGCCCTGCAATTCTCCTCTGACCCTAGTCCCACCCTTCTTTCATACCTGCTTTTTAAGTTTGTGTGTGCGCGCGTACCATGGTCCACACGTAGAGGTCAGAGGACAACCTCCAAGAGTCAGTTCTTTCCTTCCACGATGTTGAGCACCACTGCTGAGCTCCATGAGAGACTTCTCATGACCTGACTGACCTCAGAATTTCTATGTAGCCCAGGCTAACCTCAGTGTTCTTGCTTCAGCCTCCTGGGTGCTGGGGTCACAGGTTTACTTCCTGTTCTCTGACTTTTCAAGGGCCTCTATGCGCTCATAGGTGTTTTTCGAAAGGCTGCTTTGAAGCTGCAGTGTGTACATTGTGTGCAGGCTAGGGAGATGGCTCAGTGGAAAAGGGTGTTTGCTGTGCACACATGAGGACCTAGGTGTGGATCCCAGCACACCGTGAAAACAAATGGGTATGGCTGTGCAAGCCTGTAACCCCAGTGTCGTGGGGAGCAGAGATAGAAGGATCCCTGGGACTTGCTGGTCACCAGCCTAATTCCATGCTCACTGCGATCTCAAGAGTGATAGAACAAGACTCCTGACATCCTCTGCTGACCCCCACATGGGTGTCCACTCTCATACACGTACATACATCAAACTATAAATGCAAAATAAACCAGCGTGGTAGCGTCTGCCTTTAATGTCTTAACTCAGGAGGCAGTGGCAAGAGGATTGCTGTGAGTTTGGGGACAGCTTG